CCCCCCCAAGCACTTTCCACAGCTGGCTGCACAGGCTGAGAGCTGGGGTATTTGCCCCCGGGGGTGCAGCCCCCCGCCAACCCACCCAGAGCTGGGGAGAGAACTGAGGAGTCCTGGCTCCCAGCTCCACCCCCCTACCCCACTCCCTGCCCCACAGACCCCCCCCCACGACGGAAAGACACCTCCGAGGCCCTGGTTAAAAATACACATTTATGGGGGGAGGAACCCCAATAATTTAACACGTTTTATACACAGCAGCCACGTCCCCCCCCAGCACCACTGGCCCCCCTCCCGGCCCCCAGGGCGCAGCCCCTGCCCCATGGGGGGGCCGTCCCCCCGTTGCCCCCTGGCCTGAGGGGTGGGGGAGCCCGAGGGCCGAGGCTGGGACCCCGTGGGGGGGGGGGCCACAGCCGGGGCTAGGGGTCGACGAAGGAGACCATGATGTAGCGGGTCCCGCGGGTGGTGGGCAGCCCCTCGTGGAAGTGGGTCAGGCGCCCCGGGTGCATCAGGCTCCAGCCCTTCCGCGGGGCAGTCACGGAGCAGGAGTAGCGCAGGAACCGGCAGCCACCGCCCTGGGGGAGACGAGTGTGAGGGGGGGCCCCTGGTCCTGACCCATGGCCCCCCTGGTGCCCCCCGGTCCCGACGTGTAGCCCCCTGTTACCCGCCCCCCTGGTGCCCCTCACTCCCGACCCGCAGCCCCCCATTACCTAGCCCCCCTGTGCCCCTCGGTCCTGACCCACAGCCCCCCCGGTCCTCACGTGCAGCCCCGTTACCCGACCCCCTCAGTCCCAACCCGCGGCCCCCTGTTAATCAGCCGCCCGGTGCCCCTCACTCCCGACGCGCAGCCCCTGCTCTCCCCGGGGGGTGGGGGGGTCTCACCTCGTAGTCGCTGCCCTTGTTGTTGAGCGCGATGTTGATGGTGAAGGTGGACGAGTCGTGGTGGGGTCTCAGCGCCGGCTGCTGTTCCGGCCGATACCGAACCACGAAATTCAGCAGGGCCCGGGCCTGGGGGGGAGGGGCAGTCAGAGTGGGCGGGACCAAAGGGAGGGCGTGACCTATGCTGGGTAATGGCCCTGCAGCCGCTGCTGGTGCCAGCCGGAGGAGCGCTCCCCTCCGGGCTCCGTGCTGCCGGGGGGAGGGGGGGGCCGTGCTAAGGGGGAGGGGTCCGGGCCCCCCAGGCCTGCCCGGCCGGTACCTTGGTGTAGTAGCCGGGGTAGAGCATCTCGGGAGGGGGGTACGAGCCCCCTAGCGAGCCCGGACCCCCCCCCCAGGCCGGTACCTTGGTGTAGTAGCCGGGGTAGAGCGTCTCGGTGATGGGCGCGATGAATTCCCGCAGGAACCGCAGCCACTCGCTCTCCAGCCCGATCTGCCGCATGTGGATGTCGTCCGTTGGCACGTTCTCGTAGCCCCCGGCCAGGCGGGCGTCCTGGGGACGACCGGACCCATCAGCGGGGGGCTGCAGAGGGCGCTGGGTGCAGGGATTCAGGGGGCTGCAGGGTGTTGGGGGCAGCGGGGGGCGCTGGGTGCAGGAATTTGGGGGGCTGCAGGGGGCTGCAGGGTGTAGGGGAATGGGGGAGCAGCAGGGGGCAGGGGGCTGTGGGGAGTTGGGGGTAGCGGGGGGCGCTGGGCTGTGGGGAATTGGGGGGCAGCAGGGGGCTCCGGGGAGTTTGGGGCAGCAGGGGGGAGCTGGGGGGCAGCAGGGGGCTGTGGGGAGAAGGGGCACTGGGGGCAGGGGCTGTGGAGTGTTGGGGGGCAGTAGGGGGCACTGTGCAACGGGGTTGGGGGGTTCAGGATGGGGGGACTGCACCCCACTCACCTTGTGCTGCCCGCCGGACCATATCCCATAATGCTCCACTTCCTCCACCAGCTCGTCGCAGGCCACCTCTGACAGGATGGGGAACCAGTAGACGTCAGGGCAGGGCTGGGGGGCAAGAGACAGTCAGGGCTGCCCCGGGGAGCTGGGGGGGTATTGGGGGGCACCATGGGGCAGGACTGGGGGGCAGGGGACCGTCAGGGCTGCCCTGGGGGGGTTACTGGGTGGGGTGCCGTGGGGCAGGACTGGGGGGCAGGGGACAGTCAGGGCTGCCCCGGGGGGGAGATGCCTGGCAGGTGCAGGAAGTTAGGGGTGGCAGGGGCAGCATTCTGGGGGGGGATCGTGACGGGAGAGGTGGGGGGAGGACGCCCGAAGGGGGGTAGCTGGGGGGGATTCCCAGGGGGATTTGGTGGGTGTTTTTGGGGACAGGGTGGGGGGCTGGCCCGGCTCTCGGCCCAGCCCCCCATGTTCCCAGCAGTTCTGGTGGGGGAGTGGGGGAGTGATGGGAGTCTGGGGGACGTTGGGGGTGATGGGGAACTGGGAAGGGATGGTGGGGGTGGGGGCTGGGGGGGGGTTACCTGTTCCACCAGCTCCCCGTCCAGCACCCGGGAGTAGTTCTTGTGGATGTATTTCTCCTGCCAGTCCTGGGGGGCCCAAAGACTGCGTGAGAGACACCCCCTGCCCCCCATCTCCCCTCCCCTAGCCAGCCCCCTGTCCCCGTCTCCCCTCCCCCAGCCCGAGGGATGAGTTTGCCCCTCATACCTGGACCCCAGGGCCCCTGCCCCGTCAGCCCTCTGAGCTGGTGCTGGGGACGACCCCCAAGCCCCTGGACCCCCTGGGCCAGCCCAGCCCCCGCAGCAGTGTAGGGGCCAGGACACACAGCAGGGGGGCGTGGCCTGGGATGGGACATGCTGTGGGAGGGGAAGGGGGTGGGGCCAGGGTGTCACTCACCGGGAGGTTCTCCGCGATCTGCCAGAGGTCAGGGTGCAGGCAGGGGGCGGGGCAGGGGGCGGAGTCACTCACCAGGGGGTTCTCCATGATCTGCCAGAGGTCGGGGTGCAGGCAGGGGGCGGAGTCACTCACCAGCGGGTTCTCCGTGATCTGCCAGAGGTCAGGGTGCAGGTGGGACGTGTTGTAATTGGCCGTGGAGAGCAGGTGCCCGAACTCCTCCAGGTTCGTGATGTGCAGAAAAATCCCCTGCAGGAGATAGGGCCGTCAGGGACCCCCGGGGAAATCCGCCTCCCTGCCGGGGAGAGAGGGCTCGAGCGAGGGGTTTGGGGGGGCTGTTGGGGACAGGGTGGATCTCTTCAGCCTCTGGCAGACGCTGCTGCAGAAGGCCGTGTCGGGGCGGGTGGGGAATTTTGGGGGGCTTTGGGGGGCTGTGGGAGGTTAAGGGGGGCCCATACCCTCTCCCGGACATTCTTGCAGAAGGCTGCGTTGGGGTGGAAGGGGGATTTTGGAGAGCTGGGGAGTTCAGGGGGACTGTGGGAGTTTTTGGGGGGCTGTGGGGGTTCAGGGGGACTATGGGAGTTTTGGGGGGCTCTGGGGGGTTAAGGGGGCTCCGTACCCTCTCGCGGACGTTCTTGCAGAAGGCCATGTCGGGGTCGGTCTCCTCCAGGGTGAAGACGCTCCGGTCGTGCAGCTCCGAGCGCAGCGTCTCCCCGCGCACCAGGTAGGCCTGGCTGATGTAGGGCACATTCCACACTCCGCTGCGGGATGGAAACGGGGTCAGCGGGAGAGGGTGCAGGCCCCACCCCTGGGAAGGGGGCGGAGCTCTGGTGAGGGGTGGGTCTAGGCCCTTCCCCCAGGAAGGGCGCAGAGCTCTGGTTGGGGGGGTCTAGGCCCCGCCCCTGGGAAGTGGGTGGAGCTCCGGTTGAAGGTGGTCTCAGCCCCTCCCCCGGGAAGGGGGCGGAGCTCCAGTGGGGGGCGGGTCCCTCTGGGGGGTGACTCACGTGCGCTTGCCCTGCACCAGCTCGACGTAGTCCTCAGCGCGGGCGTAGTAGCCCTCAGGGCTCAGCGCCCCCCAGAAATTCGACCAGAGCTTGCCCGGGCGTGACACCATGGGGGCTATGACCTTCCTGCAAGGGGGCAGAGACAGAAGGGGTGGAGCTAAGCAGGGGGGTGGAGACACAAGAGGCAGAACTAAGCAAGAGGGCGGAGACACAAGGGGAGGAGCTAAGCAAGGGGGCAGAGACATGATGAAATGGGCTCCGTGCAGGGGCAGGGCGGGTTTCGGGGTCTTACAGGTGCGGGTGGATCAGGGCGCTCAGGGTCCCCGGGCTGGGGAGCAATGGGGACCAGTGGGGGGTAGTGGGGGGGCAGGGCAGGTTTTGCAGGGCTGTACTGGTTCTGCCAGATCAGGGCACGCAGGGTCCCCAGGCTGGGAGATGGGGGGAGTAGTGGGGGGGCAGGGCGAGTTTTGGGGGCTGTACCAGTTCTGGTGGATCAGGGCACACAGGGTCCCCGGGCTGGGGTGCAGGGGGGAGCAGTGGGGGGCAGGGTGGGTTTTAGGGGGCTGTACCAGTTCTGGCAGATCACGGCATGCAGGGTCCCCGGGCTGGGGGGGCAGGGGTTGCAGTGGGGAGGTAGTGGGGGGACAGGGAAGGTTTTGGGGGGCTGTACTGGTTCTGGCTGATCAGGGCACGCAGGGTCCCCGGGTTGGGGGGCTGTGGGGAGCAGAGGGAAGCAGGGGGGGCAGGGCAGGGTTTGGGGAGCTGTACTGGTTCTGGCGGATCAGGGCGCGCAGGGTCCCCGGGCTGGGGAGCAATGGGGACCAGTGGGAGGTAGGCGGGGGGGGGGGGGCGGAGGCGAGGTTTTGCAGGGCTGTACTGGTTCTGCCAGATCAGGGCATGCAGGGGTCCTCAGGCGTGGGGAGGAGTGGGGGGAGGCGAGGTGGGGGGGGGGGCGAGGGGCGGAGGTTTTGGGGGGCGTGGTACCGAGGTTCGTGGGTGGAGTCGAGGGGCGACGACGAGGGT